GGGCAGAAGCTAGTCTATACATATTGCACTACATTCAGTAATACACAATGGCTCTAAAAATAAATTAAAAAGACCATATGATTTAAACAATGATCTAAATTTAATATTGGTGGAGAAAGGAGACTTCTTTTCGGAAAAAGGATTTCTAGGAGATTGATTTTAAAGCTTTCACATATTACAACGGATTTATTCTATTTATTAAGCTTAACAAAAGCTTCCTCCATATTTTTTTCAAAAGTATCATATTTTTACACGTGGTAGAGCCATGCTGCAGCTATATTAGTAGTATAGTTGTAACACGAATGGGTCGGCTCGACCACGCTCTTACAGAATACCAGCGTAAAATACCAGCTTAGCGCTGCTGTGTTTCGTATGGTGAGTGTAGAGAACCGGAGACCCATTTTCCTGGCAAAGAGGCATTCCATCTTAGTCCTCACGGGTGACGACGCATCTGCATTTTGATTCTTTATTGAGGATAAATGTGGATGTCTATGGGTCACAGCAACTACTTACCATCAGGTGGACTGTGTGCTCGTTTGTTACTCTATCCTATAAAAAAAATATAGAACATGGGCGTCTGTAGACACTCACAACAATGAGGTGCTCAAACTCAACACATGCCATTTCTACATTTCGGTCAACAGAGAGGCTCACAATATCTTTATGTTGTTTACATGATAATAATTTATTAGCTAATATTAACGAGCCACCTCTTAAAACCGTTTCTCTATTGAACGAACTGACCATCTGGTGATTACTGAAGTTAAGCATTAAGTTATAAACTTTTAACCCCTGGAAATGAGGTGATCACTACAAAGCTATTTCTAATTTTTATTAATAATATACAATATTAAAACTGTAATAATAATAAAAAAACTAAAACTAGAAACTTAATTATCATATAGTCCTACTCCCCGCGGTATCGTGCCAAGAACGCTCGCTGTGTTTCCCCGCTGAATGGCTTGAGCTTAGCCTTAATTAATACTTAGCCTTTGAGCGGGAAAAGAACCAGCCCTCTTATCAGCAGCAGCAACGACCAGCCGCGGATGGAGTTTTTTTAAGAACTTCACCGCACGTGGACCCCACGGACCGATAGTCTCTACAGCAAATGGCACAAATATGTAGTCATCTCTCAGAGACTCATACTTGCGCCACTTACTCAGTTCAGCTGCCTCTGATGCCGCTCCGGCTCTAAACGAGGTACCCCTGAGATGAGAGGCCGCCAGAGTGTCTACGCAAGTAGCATCCCACATTAGGGCTTTACCTCTCTCCCCAACTTTTAACCAGTGTTCAGTAATACATAAAATATGAATATCGTTGCTATTTAAGAACAATTCGATTTTTTGCTCTTTGCCTATCGTGTCTTGTATATTCTGATGCATCAGGTGTAAACAATTATTATTGTTATTTTGTGGAGTCATACAATTAAGGATTTGTAATGTACATTCTAAATTATTTAAATTATTATAACTGCTAGAGATTACGTCTATTGTCTCATTTTCTAATTGAAATGATTTGGAACTGATTCCAAATTACATATTAAGTCATTAGTCTGCTCAATAGAAGCAGATGTCTGTGTAGCCAAAACCTTGATTGAGTTAATATATAAACAATAAGATTTTTTATCTTATATATAGCACATTTGCTATCTGTCTTAAATTATATTGATATATATAGAGGATTGGGTAGGTAATACCGATCTGTAGCAAAAATTTCTTTATCAAATTATTTAAGTCTATTAGATTAATTCTATTATTATAGTTATAACAATTAAATGTCAAGTTTAAATTGTTATTACATGAAAAGTTATTCATTACCAAATTTAAATCAAATCTGATTTTATTTTCCTGTGGCCAACCTTGTATGGAAGGCAGTGTAAACAAAATAATTTTATGTACATTTTAAGTATTTAGATAATCAATATTTTTTAATAATTGATTTTTGTTTACATTACCTCTTCTTCCAACAAGAATTATTAATGTACTCCCGTCCCGTTGAAATCGGTCTAGCCGTTTTGGAGATTAGCTGGAACAAACAGACAGACATACAGACAAACATTTTTAAAATTGTGTTTCTGTTATAAGTAACGTTTAAACTTTCATATTACGCATTTAGTAAAAAGCTGTTATTTTGACATTACAAACAGCCACTTCAATTTAATTTATTTGTATAGATGTTGTTACGAACGGCGAAGGCGGCCGCCGCCCCGTCGCTCCTTCATACCCCGTTACGCCCCGCGCACCCCGCACACCGGCAGCAGATCACGCGATGTCACCGATCAATCAGCGCGCGGCATCGCCTCACGACGCTACTCACATACTGAGACGCTCTCTTGCGGGATATAAGAAGGGCGTTTTGGTCTGTGAGGCGTTCATTTCAGAAGCGGCACTCGAAGACAACAAGAGAAGAAACCTCAAGAGAAATCAAGAGATACTCCATTGAAGATAGAAGAGTGAAGACTCCCCTCTCTGTATATAGTTTATTAGTGCCGCATTCGTAAATATTTGAATACAGTATAGTCTACAGTACAATCTTTCCTTTAAGTAGTCCCTAGCGTAGTAATTAGTCAGTCAACCAGTTTTATACATTAAATTCATACAGTCCACTATCGTCCCTAATATTCTTGGTCCTTCAAGCCGGATAGAAGCCAGAAGAAAGAAGTTAATTATAGAAGAAAGAAGGTAATTATAGAAGAAAGAAGATCATTATATATTAGATCTTCAAGGAAGAAAGAAGCTCGTCGACGAAGAGAGAAGATCGTCGGTACTAATCTCTTCCCCGTTTCTTATTACGTTTACGTCATATACGTCTATTGTCTGTTTCCAGACAATTTTCTTGTTTCTTAACCGCGTTTACGCGGCCAGGTGGTTGCTCCCTAACGGTGCCAAACTGTGACCATCTGGTAACGCCCTTGCGGCGGGAACGGCGTCCAATACGTGCGTCTTTTTGAAGACGATCGGAGGTCGCAACGTGGGGCATCATGCGGAAGAGAAGAAGCCAGAAGACACGGAACGACGACGACACGCCGGTAGGAATGCGGATATTCGAGGAAGCACCCGCGTCACCATCCGATTATCTCGCGTTGGCACAAGCGCCCTCCGCCGCGCCGCAGCCCCCGCTCGCGCCCGCATCTATGCCCGCACCCGCGCCCGCGCCGCCGCGCCCCGCTATGTCCGTGTCCACAACCGATCGCTTGGGAGAGGTTAGCACATCCGCGCCGCGTACAGAGACACTCGCCGCGATTATAGAAGATCTTCCGATTACAGAGACTAGCTCGATAGTGCGTACCGTCGCGCCTGTAGCAGACGTTGTACATAGGCCCGCGCCCCGCGCCTCGTCGGTCCGTTCAGTCCGTTCAGCCTGGTCGACAGCTAGCGCAATAGCAAAGTTAAAACAAATCGAGTATAATACCGCGGAGGAACCAGCTGCAATTAGAAGGAAGCAATTGCAAATCGAAGAAGATCTCATCAAGAAGAAATACGCTAGGGACGTCGCTCAACTGCAAGAAGAAACGGATAGGGATAGTTTAAACGAAGACGATTTAGTGGAAAATAGGGTACGCGTTGATAGGTGGTTAGAGAACGTGGAGACTGTGTGGGGGGAGCCGCCCTACCGCCCGTCTCAGCCCGCGCCCCGCATCGAGATAGAGCAAGTCCCGCCGAGTAGGGGAACCGGTTACGACCACGCTGAAGATGCCCAGGGGAGGTCGGTTGCGAATGATGTTCCACCGCGCCGCGTAGATACGATACAGAGGGCCAATGGAGTCGCCGTAGAAATGAACCAGGTGGATCGCCGTGTACGGGTTACGTCGCCGTCGCGCGTCCAACGCCGCACTCTATCGCCTATAAATAGATCGCCACATCGCCACGCGGATCGTAGATTACCGTCGCCGTGTAAGGATGTAGGTGCACGTAGATCGCCATTGCCACATCGCCACGCGGATCGTAGATTACCGTCGCCGTGTTACAGGGATGTAGGTGTACATAAGTCGCCAGCGCCACAGCGTAGGCTAGAGGGAAATAGGGATAGAGATAGGTAGCTCACCCTACGAGGGAAAGATAGGGGTATAGAACGATTAGCGGAAGCCTTAGAAGGCATGATAAGACTTAGACCAGCCGCCGCGAAACAGACACAGGAGTTGCCTAATTTCAACGGCTCGGCTGCGGAATGGTTATCGTGAAAAGGATAGTGTTGACACGCCGCGTAGAGGATAGGGCCCGCGACGTAAAAACGTTTACCGCCCAGGAGACACCAGTAGTGCCTCGTGTATGTGTTGTGGGGGTGAACACCCAATCGCCAAATGTAGGAAGCTGGCGCAAATGGGTTTGGACGACTGGTGGAAGTGGGTAAGGGAAGATGGGTTGTGTTTTAGGTGCTTAAGCAGCAAACACCGACGACTACGTTGTAAAGCTAGGAAATGCGGCGTCGACGGCTGCAACGCCCCCCACCACGCCCTCCTTCACACCCGCAAGGCCCGTACGCCTGAAGCGTCGGTAAAACCGGATGAGACCGTGCTCGTCGCGTCGAATGTTAATAGTAGTGCGTCCGTGTTATTGAAAGTGTGCGCGTGCGCGGACCGCGCGGCAAGGAAGTTGATACGTATGTGAATAAACTCTGATCACTCCCTTGTGGTACTCACACACTCGAGGTATAGGTATTGAAATAAATCCAAGTACTCAGAGATATGCTAAGGTTATTTATTTTATCGAAACCATGTTCTTACATGTAGGCTTGAACACTACAACCATACCGCGATTTAAAACAGTACAACGCCATCTATAAGTTGTCATCTGAATTAATCTTAACAATCTTAACATAATCGCCCACCAAGGACAAATATGACATTTGTCCTTTAACAACAACACAAATGGCTTTTCTATTAATCTATAACTTCACATGAAAATCTTTTCACAATACAAGTTGAGGATCAATCTTAAACTTAACAACGTATTCTAAATCTATATTCTAATCTAGTTAAACACTTATAATATTATTTAACATTATTCAGTCGCAATCGGAAGCAGACACACTTTGGAAATCGGACGTTTAAATGTTTCATTTTTTGTTTTTAACGTTATTACTCTGACCAAATTGTCTTGTCCAGGATGAGTTTCAATCACTCTGCCATATAGCCATCGGCGGGGTGGTAATCCGTCCTCTTTTACTAAAACAACGTCGCCCACCTTGGGCTGAGGTTGCACTGATGACCACTTATAACGGTGCAAAAACTTGGTAAGGTATTCCTGAGACCATTTTTTCCAAAAGTCCTGCAACATTCTTTGGGTGAACTGCCACCTTCTTAAGGAATTAACAGTGTGAGATTCGTAATTTTGGTCTGGCGGAGTCACAATAGGCTCTCCCACTAGGAAATGACCCGGAGTTAAGACCATGATATCGTCGGAGTCACCTCCGATAACTGACAGCGGTCTGGAATTAAGACAAGCCTCCACTTGTGCTAAAACAGTTGACATCTCCTCAAATGTCAAAGTTGATTGTCCTATTACACGTTTTAAGTGGTACTTGACTGATTTCACCCCCGCCTCCCATAAACCACCAAAATTAGGTGACCGGGCAGGGATGAAATGCCAGTTGCAGTCGTTATTAGCCACTGATTCAGCTACTTCCTGTAGCATCGATCCGTTTTCGGTTAGGAAAAGTCGTTTTAGCTCGTTGGCTGCTCCAGTGAAATTAGTTGCGTTGTCACTCCATAAATCAGAGCAATGACCACGTCTGGAGACGAATCTCTTAAACGCCTGCAAGAACCCTTGAGAACTGAGATCAGTGACTATTTCAAGGTGTATGGCCTTGGTTGCCATGCAAACAAAGAGGCATATATACCCCTTGTGAGATTTATGTCCTCGTCCTTTTGCTGTCCGTATCTGGATAGGACCCGCATAATCCACACCACTACATTTGAAGGGACGTATTGGAGTCACTCTCGCTGCTGGTAACTGGCCCATTAGTTGCGTCTGAGTATTGGGGGAATTTTGGGCGCATGTCAAACATTTTCGGAAATAAGACCTGACCGACTGTTTTGCTCCCAAGATCCAGTATTTTACCTGGATATAGCAGATCATCAACTGGGGACCTCCATGAAGTGTATTCTTGTGGGCATCCGCAATAATTAAGTTGGTTAAATGGCACTTCTTGGGTATTAGGATAGGATGTTTCTGGTTGCGACTCAAGCCAGAAAGCTCCAATCTCCCACCTACTCTTAGGATTTCATCAGCATCCATCACTGGGTTCAACGAACGGAGTTTACTACCTTTAGGTAAGTTACTCTTTTGTTTTACCAACAAGATCTCTTCTTTAAAATGAATTGCTTGATACTGCTTAATGCATACATTTTGTGCTTCAGTTAGTTCTTGCGTGGTCAGATAGCCTCTCTTTCTCTTGTTAGGTTCTGAACTTAAATTATTTATAAAACGTTTACAGTAGGCTATTACTCTTTTCATCCTCGTCAAAGATGAAAACCTCTCCCATATACCATCTTCTACAACAGCACAATGCGATTTAACCTTTTCCAAATTTGTAGTTACTTCTTTGGGCTTCTCATAATTGATAGTTCTGTTTCTCAAAAAGTCAGAACCGTTGAACCATATGCTATTTTTTACCAATTCTTGAGGAGATAGTCCTCTAGATGCAGCATCAGCAGCATTTTCTTTAGAGCTAATATGCGACCAATTATGAAAATCCAAATTAGACTTAATCTCTGATACACGATTTGCGACAAAAACTTTCCATCTACTTGGATGGTTATTAATCCACGCGAGAACCACTGTAGAATCTGTCCATGCTCGTATGTTATGTTTTTCAATGCCTAGCACTCTTGCTGTTTCCAATATGAGTCGTGATAATAATACAGCTCCACAAAGCTCTAATCTAGGGATAGAGACTTGTTTCACCGGTGCGACCTTTGTTTTTGCAGTTAACAGAGATACGTTAATCGCCCCACTGGAGTCGATCACACGGATGTAAATAACCGCTGCGTATGCACTATTAGAGGCATCGCAAAAGCCGTGCAATTCAACTGAATCGCCAACATTAGTGTGGACCCATCTTGGTATGTTTATCGTCTCTAACAGTTTCAGCTCTTCTCGGTAAGCAAGCCACTCATCCAGTATACTTTTTGGTACCGCTTCATCCCATTCAATCCCTGCTAACCACATCCTTTGAATTAATACTTTTGATTTTATGATACTGGGCCCAGTGGGTCATAAAAGCGTGAAATGTCACTAATGATTTTTCTTTTAGTTACAGGTTGTTCCAGCTTCGGGAGATTGACAGCGTAGCGAAAGGAGTCTTCACTACGGTCTCAGGTGAATCCAACTATTTTCAAAGTTTCATCTGATTTAATTTTTAATCCTTCCTGAACATCCCCTTTTCCTTTTTCCCCTTTCATAGATTCTACTAATTCCTCGCAATTACTTGTCCATTTCATTAACTCAAATCCTCCTTTACTTAATAATTCATTCATTTCATGAAATATCCTCAATCCTTCTTCCTTAGTTTGGCATCCTGTTAATAAGTCATCCATGTAATAATCTGTTAAAACTCGTTTAGCTGCCATAGGATAACTATCACCTTCATCGAGAGCCAACTGCTGCAACGCTTTAACTGCCAGGTAAGGCGCAGAGGCAGTTCCAAATGTCACCCTCAGCATTCTATAATGTTTCATTTTCGTTTCAGCATTATCTCTCCAGATAATCCTCTGAAAATCCACATCTAAATCGGAAATCTTCACTTGCCGATACATTTTTCCAATATCAGCAGTGAGACAGAGTGAGGCGGAATACGCCATCGCATGACCAAATGTCGCAGTTCTGGCTGTAAGGTAGGTCCTATAAGGAGATTATCATTGAGAGACATGTTATTTTTTCCTTTACAAGAAGCATCATATACTACTCTGACTTTCGTCGTGTCTTTGTCCTCTCGTATTACCGCGTGATGAGGCAAGTAGATTGCCAACGGATTATCCAAATGTTCCTTCTGTACTAACTCCATGTGATTCAGATCTATGTACTTTTTCATTACTTCTGTATCTGTCTGTATCCTTTAGGTTTTTATTTTTATTAAATTTATTTTCTAATGTATAAAATCTCCTTTCATATATCTCCTTGGAGCCGTCTACCTGCGGAGGATCGTTCTTCAAAGGAAGTCGGACTATATATACCTGCCTTCATCATCTCTCGTAGTTGTTTTATTGAATATTTCTTCACAACGTTTCTCTTCATCAGTGAACATTTTCTCCTTTTTTATTTCAGGTTCTGCCTCCAGTTCCCAAAACCTTTTGAGAAGATCATTATCATTTGAACAACAATGCAAGACCTTTATTTTGTGTGCTGACTGTGCAGTCATGGTAATTTGTCCAGAGAGTATCCAACCTAACGACGCAGCCTGAGCTAATAGCTCTCCCTCTGGACTCCTTTTTATTCCTTCCAGAAGTATCTGATTGTAAATACCTACTCCTAGTAACATATCGATATGACTTGGAGTATGATACTCTGGATCAGCCAAGACTAGGCCTTCAAGTTCAATCCAACTTGATGGGTCGATCTTGCATATTGGTAACGGAGCCGTTATTGTCTTCAAAACAAAGGCTTCTACTTTAATTCTAAAGTTAGAGTCAACTCGTGATTGAAGTTACATAATAACCATAGCCTTGGAAGTTGTCTCGTGTTCGCCCAATCCGGATATTTGTCCTAAAATCTGAGTTTTCCTCAATCCCAAGCGCTGTACGGTTGACTCCGTTATGAAAGAACATTGCGAGCCCTGATCAAGTAGAGCTCGCACTGTGTTGCTACTTGTTTTCGACTTGACTCTTACAAGTGCAGTTGCTAGAAGAGCCTGATTGTAAACTCTGCCTGAAGAAAAACAAGAGACTGACGTTTCTTGAACCTTTGAATCACCTACTTGTTGCGAAGAAGCTGCAATTGCTTCTTCTGACACGCCCTGTTCCCTATCCTCGATGGCCTTAGAAATAGCTTTCCCACTAGGGTGCAAAAGTGAATGGTGTTTCCTTTTGCAAACGCGACACCTTACGTTGGTACGGCAAAACTTGGCAGAATGATTGCTACCCAAACAATTAAAGCATGCTTTATTATTTTCTACGAATTTTCTACGCGCGTCCACAGTTTCCTTAGAAAACTCTTTACAAAATGCAAGTGCGTGTGCTTCCGAACAATACAAACATTTAACATTAGTTACATGTAAGGTTTTCATTTTATTTACATGAGGACTACTTTGAGTCTGACTTTTTTTGACTGAGTTGGATCCGGAATCCAAAAATTCCATAGCGCGATATCTATTTGTTAAAAACTCTTTGAAATTGGCATATGTTGGCAATTCATTTGCCGAGCTGTTATTGCTAACTTGAAATTCCCACTGTCTTTTAGTTTCCGGGTCCAACTTAAGAGTTAAAATGTGTATAATAATAACGTCCCAACTTCCTACGTCAACTCCTATATTGGTCAAAGAAGCGAGACAATCATTAGTGGTATCGATTAAATCCTTGAGACCACTGGCTGATTCGTTTAGTATGTTTTTCTGGCTAAACATTCTTTTCAATGTTAAATGACAAATATATTTTTTGTTATTATATCTGTCCTCGAGTAATTTCCAACATCTATCGTAATTTTCGTTCGCAATAGGAATATGCCTCAAATATTGTACTGCCTCACCCGTCAAATAACTTTTTAAATAATGTAACTTTTGAACCTTACTTAAATCTTTATTCGAATGAATAAGCGCAGTATACAAATCTCTAAATGATGTCCACTCAGGGTATTTCCCAGAAAAGTTAGGTATATTAATTTTTCGTAACTTTATGTGTGACGATGACTTTACATTCGATTGAACATAGTTACTTTCTGAAGTACAAGGTGCATTTTCAATATTAAACCTTTCTAAAGATGTTTTCAAGTCACATTTATAATTCAAATAACACTCTTCAGCCTTATCATAAATGTCTTCCTTTACATAATTAGTACCTAGTAATAATTTTTGATCTGAATTACGCTTTAGCTCCTTATGACCAGATAAAAATTCGGACCACGTTTGCTCGATTAATTCTAATCTTCCCTCTAAATACTGTTTAGTAATTCGATCTTTTGGGCTCTTTTTGAAGTTAGTTTGCGCCTTAATAATGCGCTCATATAGTTCAATCTGAAAGTTTAACAACGCTTCCATTTTTAAGTAATTAAACAAAACTACAAGTTTGTAAGTTCAAACAGCAAAATGTTCTAAGTAAAGACACCAAAATTTTCTAAGTTGTAAGGTACTCAAATTTTTCTGTCTTTAAAGTTTACAAAGCCTCTTAAAAATTGGACATAGGTTCCCCGTATTAACGTTTTTATCCCCGTATTAAAGTCTTAACTAAGTATGGAAATTTACTCTAAGTTTAATTTAATTTTAAAGTCCAAATAATGATCACGAATTTTTATAAGTTATAGTCTTCCTGGTAATAAGGTTCAAAATTACTCACGATTTTCACCACACAGACACAACTTGCCTCACTTGTATTTGCTCGCCTTGCCGTAACGCCGCACTTCTACTAACTGCAACCGCTTTCCGCAACGGGGGTGGCTTCGCTCCGTGATGACGTATCCTGACGTCACTGCAGCCAAGCGCCGTCCGAGGTCAACCTATTGACCCCTGTAGATCACCACGTTTGCGACAGCGATCCACTGCCCGTAGCGACGGAGAATCCGATTCGAAGGACCATGAATAAACTCTGATCACTCCCTTGTGGTACACACACACTCGAGGTATAGGTATTGAAATAAATCCAAGTACTCAGAGATATGCTAAGGTTATTTATTTTATCGAAACCATGTTCTTACATGTAGGCTTGAACACTACAACCATACCGCGATTTAAAACAGTACAACGCCATCTATAAGTTGTCATCTGACTTAATCTTAACAATCTTAACAGTATGCGCTACTTGACGAAGGCTCTACCATAATCGATCGACGACAACTTAGCTCGCGAGTTAGGAGCGGAAGGATCGGTAAAACCACTCAATATTAGAGGCGTAAATAATAGTCAACGCGAGGCCAATAGTAGGTTAGTAAATATAGAGATACGTGGTAAGACGCGCAATGAGATTTATAATGTAGTGAGTAGGGAGTGCTTACGGTTGAAGCACTTACGCGACTTACCGAGTTCGGTATGTTACGACGACGCGAAGCCGAGATTATTATTAGGCGCCGACAACTGGCATTTAATAATCAACCGTAATTTGAGAATAGGACGTCGAAGGCAGCCCATAGCTGCACATACGTTGCTAGAGTGGGTAATTCAGGGAACCGTGCCGCGGTTAACGTGTAGGGAAGACGGCGAGACCGTATTACACGTAGCAAGCACTAGCGGACGGCCAGATAGGGACATCCGAACGTTTGCCAGTCAGGATGAGGAGCTAACGGAACTCCTCAAACGGCAGTATGAGATAGATTCCATAGGTATCTCGCTAAAGAGTAGGCCGTGACGGGAAGAGGAGCGCGCTGTCGACATATTCCAGCGCACCGTCAAGAAGGTCGGCGAGCAATACCAAGTTTGACTGCCAAGGAAGGACGACAACGTGCGGATGCCACCCAGCTATGAAATGGCAGCTCGAAGACTACGGACAATTAAAAGGAAGATGGACCAGTCGCCGGAGTTTCGGGACACCTACACAGCCCAGATAGACAACCTCCTGGCGAAAGGTTACGCAAGGGAAGCCGAAGGGACGGAGAGAGAGGATCCCAAGGGCTGGTAACTGCCACACTTCGCAGTGCGGAATCCGAACGAGCCGGAGAAGACGAGAGTAGTGTTCGACGCGGCAGCGCGCGCATCCGGTAGATGTCTTAATGACTATTTACTCGACGGCCCCGACTTATTACGGAACTTACCGGGCATACTGTTTAGGTTTAGAGAGAATGAGATAGCCGTGTCCGCGGATATTGGGGAAATGTTCTTACGTGTGAAAATCGACCGTCGCGACCAATCCGCGCAATTGTTTCTCTGGCGAGGAAACGAGCGACACAGCCCACCACGGGAGTACGTTATGACGTCAATGAGTTTCGGCGCGAGAAGCTCGCCGTTTCTCGCACATAGTGTTAGAGATTATAACGCGCGCGCACACGCAGAGACACACCCGTTGGCACTTAACGCTATCGTACGTAGTCAT